TTTGGCCTAATTTATCATTATTAATCAAAACTTAAAAGTTTTGTTTTGAGGCTATTTATTCATCGTTTCTAGATTTCTATGTTTCACTGTGATACAAAACCGTCCGGAATAGTGGGCAGGTTATTCTAATCTATTAAGCAGTACGTTTGTTTATTTATTTTTCTGTAATATCAACTTGCACTTAAACGTGTATTATTTTACGCAAATTTTAGAATTTGGAGCAACTACAAATTTGTCTTGAGGCTGTTAGGACCTAGGAATATTTTTCCCTTGGCCTTCTCCACAAAAATTGAAACATCTGAGCCAAGAATTGAAATTAATTTTATAGTTAATTAATCTTTATGTAAGGTATTGGTTGAAATGAAAAAGTTAGTGTCACGAGTGGGATTCGAACCTTTTGAAAACTGGCAAAAAGGAGAGAAAATTCAAAAGGTAGGTTGAGATGGGTCCGAGTGGATCGAAGTCACGGTAGTTCAAGTGATAGAGCAGCGGCGTATCTAACCGAAGATCGTGGGTTCGAATCCCGCTCGTGACACTGACTTTGGTATCTCAACTAAAAACCTTAATTAATTTATAGATATTAATTGGTCAAGCGGACCACGAAAACTAGTGAATTTAATAAGATGAAATGAAGTATACCTTCACTAAAGTTCTCCATGGCCATTTCATTTGTTGCCGAGAATCAAATAGATTACCCGGCATTTGAAAAATGGCAAAAAGGAGGGAAAATTCAAAAGGTGTGGTTGAGATGGGAAGTTAGTGTCCGAGTGGATCGAGGTCACGATAGCTCAAGTGATAGAGTAGCGGCGTATCTAGCCGAAGATCGTGGGTTCGAATCCCGCTCGTGACACTAACTTTTCCATTTCAACCAATACCTTGAGAATCTTACATGATGATTAATTAATTGAAAGAAGTTATTAGGTCAATCGGACCACGAAATATAATGGAATTAGTTTTTATAGTTATTTGTTGATGAAATTATTTTAAAAAATACCACAATCATTCTAATCAAAGTTTGAGAAACTCACCAACGCACTTTCAACGTTCCCAAAATTACCAGTGATCCCGTTTTTTTGTTTCAAATAAGATTTATTTAAGATACACAAAATTGAATCCTTACTTAACCACCCCAATCCTATAATTTTTTATTGAATGTAATTATTAGCGTCATCTATACTTGTGAGGGCTGATGTCGGAATATTGAGTAAACTCACGAACCTCAAATCCAAATTAAGATTTATTTTGAATTCGTCATAATTAATTTCACTTTTAGGAATACCAGATTAGAGACCGATCAAACGAATGGATTTATTTCGGATATTTTCTAGTCTAGTGATATATTATTTATAAGGAGACCAAACTGATCAATGATACTTAAGAAGAGGTTTAACTAACTGGTCATACAAGTATCTTAACAAAGAAAATAGTCACATCTTAAAAATAGGTAAAAAATGTATACTCATTTTTTATGATTACAAACTTTGGAAATATTTGACTAATTTTCGCTGCTGATACTTTTATCATTAGACGCTTTTAGAGCTCATTTTTTGCCGGGTTTGCAAGCAGTAGTTAAATCACAACGACGGTAATTATTCCTTTTGTTATGCTTCATCTCTGCGCCCTCTTCAGTGAGAGTCGGAATTCAGGCTAATCGGCCGACTTAATTATTTTTTTTAAATTGAAGTTTAAACAATCTGTACTGCCATGATAAGTGAATTAGATTGAACGAGTTAAACTTCAAAAGTTCCTGGTATTATTAAAGTATGACATATTCCAGCAGCCGGTTATTAGCTGCCTTTTTCCACCTTAAAAGACTACGGTCGGAAAAATAAGTCCGTAGCGATTTTTTATTGGTAAACTCAACGAAGATTTTGGGTGCTAGTAAACAAATTTATTATCATTTTTTTCACTGCCTGTTACCATCTTCCGTATAATTTTGTAATTCTGTCCTCCCAAAACTTCTTAGCTTTTCGAGCGATGAACTATTCGATGTGCGTTTCGCAGTTCTCAAGTGAGAAGTAAAGTTTTCCCCATTTTTAGAGTTTTGAAAAACCCGGAATAAGTAAAAATCTGAAGGCATAATGTTAGACAGATTAGCTTTACTATAATTCCAGGCGCGTGTGCAAAGACACGTGCGGACCAGGGTTATCCTGTTGGAAAACAACCCTCTAGCAATTAACCAGGATAATTTTAGGTTAATTGCTGACTTTAAACTTTCTAATTGCTCCAAGCACTGGAATTCATGGCTTGGTTGGGCGTAAACTCACAATAAAGCACCCTCCATTCATGAAATGCAATCCAGCTTTTGTACTTGTCAACGGTGGGTCGCTGGCCTTACCCAAGATTTTTATCTTTGAAAATTATCATAAAAGACCCTTTTTTATCTCCATATTTTTAAAAAGTAGGTCGGTTACTTTGCATTTTAAGAGGGAATCGCAGTTGGAGATGCGTTGAGACGCTCGGAGGAAATATGGTAAGAGTCTGTGCAATGTCTCGAGTCGTTAAGTCTGGGTTATTGTGATAAAAGGTTGAATTTAGTCATAATGAACGTTTAAAGGACGAACATAGCACTCCTGCTTAACGATGGATTAATGAATAATCCTTTAGCAGATGTCATTCTTTGATTTTTAATTAATTTGACGTGCAAGTCTTTTAAAGTTAATTAAAGACACTAGTTTTCGTGGTCCGCTTGACCAATTAATATCTATCAATTAATTAAGGCTTTTAGTTGAGATAAAAAAGTCAGTGTCACGAGCGGGATTCGAACCCACGATCTTCGGCTAGATACGCCGCTACTCTACCACTTGAGCTATCGTGACCTCGATCCACTCGGACACTAACTTCCCATCTCAATCACACCTTTTGAATTTTCCCTCCTTTTTGTCATTTTTCAAATGCCGGGTGATCTATTTGATTCTCGGCAACAAATGTAATGGCCACGGAGAACTTTAGTGAAGGTATACTTCATTTCATCTTATTAAATTCACTAGTTTTCGTGGTCCGCTTGACCAATTAATATCTATAAATTAATTAAGGTTTTTAGTTGAGATAACAAAGTCAGTGTCACGAGCGGGATTCGAACCCACGATCTTCGGTTAGATACGCTGCTGCTCTTCCACATGAGCTATCATGACCTCGATACACTCGGACACAAACTTCCCATCTCAACCCCATCTTTTGAATTTTCCCTCCTTTTTGCCATTTTTCAAAAAATTAAAAAGGTGGGGTAGAACAACTCTAGATAGATAGATAACATGCTTTATTTACATTAAAGAGGAGCATAACATAATATACAATATTTAAAGCATTTTACAGCAGGGGTTATCCGTCTGCCGGAATTCGTACCTATATTGCCAGGCATGACGTGCATAGTGAGCCAAACCTTTAGACCTCTCAATATCCGCGATATTTAAAAGATCAAGCAACTGAGACCTGGAAAGCGCTTTATACCCTAGATTCAGGATATTGAGCTCTGACAGTATGGGATACTGGGCAACAAAATGAAAGATATCTTCCCTAACTCTTAGGTTACAGAGCGCACACAAAAAAATTTCCCTCGTCTTCCTTCCATTGCACAGAACTGAGGAACACTTGCTTTCATCTAAGCTTAAGTAGCCATCGAAGAGTCTTGAGTCTCATAGAACCACTATCTTGAACGTTTAGGTTAAAAGTTGCCTTAGAGTGGTCTAGGGCCTTAAAACGGAGACACCTGTTTGAGGACTGAGCACGATGCTCACAACTGTTGATCACTTATCCAGCGCAAAAGTTCCACGGTATAATTGGGCCAACTCGAGAGGTTTTCTAAACAAAAAGAAAAACTGCAACCATATTGAAAAGTTAATGTATTGACGAAACCAAGAACCATTATATTTAATAACCTCGAGAGCGGTCATTTTGGAGATTCGAGCAACGACCTTGTATCCCCTTAAGTATCCTTAAAACAAATGAGAAATGCAAGGAAAGCGTAAAAAGGAAAATTGTATCCACTCCCATCTCAACATAAAACGTGTAGTTTAGAGTGGAGTTAGGCAATCAGAAGATCTTCCCAATAAAAAAACTTTGTACCCTTTCTATCTCTTCATAACGCTGGAAGACACACCTGGCCAGCATAACATAAAACAGAACATTCTAAAGGGGGAAAATTCAAAAGGTGGGGTTGAGATGGGAAATTAGTGTCCGAGTGTATCGAGGTCACGATAGCTCAAGTGGTAGAGCAGCAGCGTATCTAGCCGAAGATCGTGGGTTCGAATCTCGCTCCTGACACTGACTTTTTATCTCAACTAAAAACCTTAATTAGTTAATTAAAGCACTGCACCTTTAAACGTCCTTCTATAAACCAAAAAATGCTATTAACGATTTTCTATTAGAAAAGAAAACAAATGTTAACAGATTCCATGGTTATTTAGAAATCTTGTCGAGTTATTCCTGTAAATAGAAACCTTGCAGTGGAGGCTGTATATTTGGATATCCTAGAGATGGATATCCTACATTATCAGCTGTTAACATATAGATGTGCAAAATCATGAAATTACGCGAAGAAGAATGTCAAAACAAATAACTGTCATGGGGATTGATTAATTGTAGTGTCCAGTTAGGGAAATCGGCCGTGGCTAATAATTAACCCCTTCGTGTCGGTCGTGTGCCCTGTTTAAACGGTTTATCGTTTTTATACCGCTGCTGCGCTGGTACCCTGGGATTCATCTAATGAGGAAGACGGTTTTCCTGACAGGGCGCCCTCTCCGTCTTTTTATTAACCGTGGGCCTCATCTATCACGGGGCCACACCCATGCCAAGGCCCTTCTCAGGTTTGGTATGAGCCTTTCTAACCATCCGAAGAAAACAGTACGCTGAACAATATTTGTACTTACACAATATAAAATTCAATTTCAACTGAAACTTAAATTTTTATTCTATCAACAACTCAACGGATAAATGTTCAAATTGAAACCAACTTTTAAGGTCAAATAGTACGCAGATTTATGTCATAATATTTGTTTCAGGTGTATCAAGTCCTGCACATCGGAGTCCGAGCGGGCCCTTCTCCTAGGCCGGGAAATTGGATTTTAGAGAGGTCCATCGACGGGAAACACTACATGCCATGGCAGTACTTTGCAACGAACGGTGACGAGTGTTTGTCGAAGTACGGTATCAAGCCATCCAACCACCACCTGACGCGATCTCGAGATCAAGTCCCCTGCACGACAGCTTACTCGAAAGTATCACCCGTTGAGGGCGGAGAGGTAAAATCCATTTAAAAAATTAACGCCGACTATGAAGTGCAATTAAAACCCCAACAATAAAAATTCCTTTGCAGATACACGTCAGCCTGACTCAGGGGTGGGTCAATTCCACTTTTTACAGCCCTGAAGTTGTAGAATTCACTAAAGCGCGATTCGTCAGACTCAGTCTGCAGAAGATGAGCAGCTCAAAGACAAGACACGTGCACGGCTCCGAGTTGGCTAAGAAATTTTATTACACTATAAAAGACATCCTCATCCAGGGACGGTGCCACTGCAACGGCCATGCTTCCAAATGCAAGCACGACCCTCTCACTGGTGTAAGAAGATTATCTTTCTATGTTTATTTATTAATTCAATGAATTAGAATTCAATTGGAGTATTACTTTCACTTGATGTGCCTGTTTTTTCCCTATATGTGGACACTTCTAATAAGCGGACGCTTTTAATAACCTGAGAAAATCCCAACTCGAGTAGTGCCCACTTATGGGAAGTTGGACTGGATAGGGTGGTTTGCGATCAAATGAAAAAATAATTGGATGTTAGTATAATGTAAATGGAGGCAAAAACAATAATAATGGCGTAAAAACGGGTTTCTTACTCACCCCGCCAAGAAGAATTATTTTTCGAAAAAAACCGACTTCTCACAAAAAAATCTATTTTATCCACAAATTTTTCATCAAAATTGAGGGCGTTTTTAAAATCTAAGTTTAATTTAAGGAATAAATCATCTCCTGAATCTTTTCAGTTCAACTAACAGTAGTTTTGTGTGGTGATTAGTGACCGTTAATCGATAATTATTCAGAAATCATGAGATGCGGTCTGGTGTGATTTAGGTTTCAGAAAAACATTTTCTTTATCGTGCCAGCGTTTCGATCTTTATTGTTAAATGTAAACAACGTTTGTAAATCCCAGGCCCTGAAGATGATCTCAATAAAGATCGAAACATTGGCACGATAAAGAAAATGTTTTTCTGAAACCTACATCACACCAGACCGCATCTCACGATTTCTGAATAAAATTGACAGTAGTTTCTTAGACACAAACCTATAAATCTTAAACATAGGATGATCTTGGAAAATTTTTAAAAATTCATTACGCTTTGTTAAACTTCCTAGAGATCGCTTTCACAAAAGTGCGTGATTTATTAAGCTTTCGAATGGTATACAGTATGTAGTGCCAAATGGTAAGATCGGTACATTTTGTTTTCGAAGAGTATGGTAGATCAACCCCCAGCAAAAAAAGTGTATCATAGGAAAATCAACGTTTTTAGTACATGGGTGTTTACAAAAATAGTCAATATTTATTTCAATTTTAATCTGTAGTATTCAGTTTTCATGTAATAAAAGCTTCTGTCATCAATTTCCTTCGCTAAAAACCTTTAATTTTCCACGATACACAGTTTTTTGAGGTGTGTGATCTACCATATTCCTCGAAAATAAAATACACATTTCAATTTTTTGTGAAATTTTCCATTCTCCAGGAAATTTTTTTTCACAGCGTAGTGAATTTTTGAAATACTTTCAGACATCTTCCAATTTAAATTTTTTAAGGTTTATGCCTGCGAAACGCTTTTCAGTTGGTCTGAAATGGTACAGAAGATAACTCATTCTTTCGTCATTTTAACTGAGATTTTAATAAGACCTCTATTTTGATTAAAAATGATTTTTTAAATTGGAATGTGACAAGTTTTTCCCGAATTTTTTTTTCTTCTCGATGAAGTGAGTTAAAAAACCATTAAGAATTATGCCACTCCGTTTGTAATTCACTATTGCCCGATTCTTTTTTTTGCAAGTCACAACGAACCACCCCGTATAATTAATAGAGCAATAAAATTAACATTTTGTTTTCGAAGAGTACGGTAGATCAACCCCCGCAAAAAAGGAAAATCAATGTTTTTAGTGCTGGGATGTTTACAAAAATTGTCAATATTTATTTCAATTTTAATCCGTAGTATTCAGTTTTCATGTAATAAAAGCTTCTGTCATCAATTTCCTTCGCTAAAAACCTTGAATTTTCCATGATACACAGTTTTTTGAGGGGTGTGATCTACCATATTCCTCGATAATAGAATACCCATATCAATTTTTTTGTGAAAAATTCCATTCTCTAGGAATTTTTTTTCACACCGTAGTGAATTTTTGAAATTCTTTCAGACATCTTCCAATTTTTAAACTTTTTAAGGTTTATGCCTGCGAAACGCTTTTCAGTTGGTCTGAAATGGTACAGTCGATAACTCATTCTTTCGTCATTTTAACTGAGATTTTAATAAGACCTTATTTTGATTAAAAATGATTTTTTAAATTGGAATGTGACAAGTTTTTCCCGAAATTTTTTTTTCTTCTCGATGAAGTGAGTTAGAAAACCATTAAGAGTTATGCCACTCCGTTTGCAATCCACTATTGCCCGATTCTATTTTTGCAAATCATAACGAACCACCCTGTATAATTAATAGAGCAATAAAATTAAAAATGAACTGCTCAATGCCAGAAACCCGATAGATTAAAAGAGTCGTCACTGATTATAGACTAAAAATGAACACGAAAATACCGACCGACTTCTACATATTTTGTTATTCGTTGAAAAGTTACACAATACGAAAGCTATAAGTCGAGAATGACACAATAAAACGGCGCCAGAAGTTTGCTAAACTGCAAGGCATCAAAGCTTTGCTGAATTTATTCTTCTTTTCTACAGAAAAATCTTGATATTTTTTTTCGCCTTCAAGGTTGACAAAACGTCTAATGATTCATACTTTAACATTGAAATCCTGATTAAATATATGAATAGAATGGCAGGGGTTTCCTCATGAGGATGGGCCGAGCTCCATGTCATATAGGCCACTAGGACCAGTGGTGGCCATTACCAGTATTTTGTAAAGTACACCGGATGCTACTAACTCAAGATAAACCCACATTGCCGACCAAGCAAGGAAAAAATTGCCTCAGAACTTGTGGTTTTCTAAAAGTTATATCGACTATGGAAAAGAAAAAGGAAATCCAAGCCCGCATCAGATGTCATCTCTTGTACAAAATGAAGACAATTTGGTCACTTTTTAGGACTTTATTAATTTCAACGATTCCATTGCAGTTATTGTAATGCTTAAGACAATATAATTTTTAACTGAAATAACTGATCTGGATGGTGAAGAAAACGAAGAACCGAAGGAAGTCCTAAGTATCAGTCTTAAAGAGGCCAAAAAATTCATCATTTTTTAGCAGAATCAAACGTCAGTGAAAATGTGTTCAGGGCAACTCACACTATTGAACTAGCAATAGAGAGCAATTGGTTAAATAATTTTTTAATGCATACGAAAATTAATCAATATTTTCAAAAATACATATAATTTCAATTAATTATCCTTTTTGTCTAAGATCTTGATTGAGATGAAAAAGTCAGAGTCAGAAACCCACGACCTTTGGCTGAATATGCTGCTGCTCTAACCACTTGAGCTATTGTGACTTCGATCTACTCAGACCCCAACTCATCTCAACCTACAATTTTCCCTCTTTTTGCCATTTTTCAAATCCTGTGGTTTTGAATCCCGCTTGTGACACCGATTTTTTCATCTCAACTAAGGCCTTAGATAAAAAGAATAATTAATTGAAATAATTAATATGATCAATTGTGACTGCTGAATATATATGGATTAATTCATATAATGTTAAAAAAATATCATATATGTATTTACATGTTAAAAAAGTAAAAACTTCCTTATATACATACACAATAGATGAAACTAATTAAACTTTTGATATAATTTATATATTTTTCATTTTTTACCCAGGATGTATCATAAAACACTTACCTATCCATTGTTCCCTTGAAGATATGATATATCAGGACTTAATTTTGTCACTATTAGCTAAAATACTACTTTTACATTACACTGAGGTATTTATAAGCAACCTTCTTCACTCCATCACTAACTTTGTAAATAAGCTACATATTTAAGCCTTTCCTTAATGTTTAGCAGTCATAATTGATCGTATTAATTATATCAATTAATTATTCTTTTTATCTAAAGTTTTGGGCGAGATGAAAAAGTTAGTGTCACAAGCGGGATTCGAACCCACGACCTTCGATTCAATACTGCTGCTCATGAAGACTTCTTGAAGTCACGATAGCTCAAGTGGTTAGAACTGTGGAGTAAGTTTGAATCCCACTTGTAACACTAACTTTTTCTTCTCAACCAAGACCTGAGATAAAAAGAATAATTAATTTAATTAATTAAAATATGTAAGATTTTTTTGATGAAAGACCTAATTAGAATTTTCCTATTAGAGATAGAATAAATAAAAAGAATATGTATTAGGAATGTTTATAAAACTAAAATATCATCTTAAAATTACTTTTATACAAGGAAAAACTTCTTAGAAGACAAATAAATGTACATTATGAACAAAATAGAAGAAATAATACTCAAACCACAACATAATAATTTTAATGGTTTGAAAAATTGATTTTAGTATTATTTTTAATTTTTTTTGTAATTTTTAGGAAGCATTTTGTGAGTGTTTGCACAAGACGACCGGCATGTTTTGTGATGAATGTCTTCCTTTGTATAATCAAAGGCCGTGGAAGGCTGGTACTCTTAAAGAGGCCAATCCTTGTTTGAAGTGTGAATGCAATGGGCATGCTGATGCCTGCCAGTATGACTCTGGCATTGATACTACTTATTCTCACGATGGAAGATTCCTTGGTGGAGGTGTCTGTTTGGATTGTCAGGACCATACAACTGGAGTAAACTGTGAGATGTGCGAGGATGGCTGGTATCGTCCGTCTGGTGTGCTGCCAAACGCCACAAATCCTTGCAGGCCTTGTGACTGCCCAAAGGACGTCGGCTCAAATGGGCTGTGCTACAAAGATGATTCTGAAATCGCTTTTGATAGGGTTTGTTGTATTCATCTTTATCAAAGAGTTTTTAAATTAACCATTTTTACCTTTTTTAGCCAGCAGGTGGTTGTATTTGTGCCAAAGGATTTACTGGATTGAAATGTGATAGATGTGCTCCTGGCTACAGCCACTATCCTTTTTGTTACCCTTGCAATTGTGATCCAAGAGGATGGCTTGCAGGATCATCTTGTGAAAAATCTTGCAAATGCAAAGTAAGCATATTATATCACCATTAGGCAAAAGATAAATAACAGTAAAAATCTAACTGTAAAAAGATAAATTATTAATAATTCAGCAATAGTAATTATTGCTACTAATTTTTATGTAAGGTCTTGGTTGAGATGAAAAAGTTATCATAGGCTTCAATGCTGCTCAAAGGTTTCTCAGCGGAAATATCTTATAAATTTTATAAACCTCTTTCTTTTTTCATTGTTTAATTTTTTTGCTGAACAATTAGTCAAGATTGTCTGCTACTCCACATCTTTCACAGTTATGAGTTCTTAAGCTTGAGATCGGTGAGAAAAATAAATTTTACCTTTCCTCCACCTTGAAACAAGTGGGTTTTTTAGAATCTGGGAAAAAGAACACAATAATATTTTCAATTACCTCAACTGTTTCATACATGTCTTGCCATTTTGTGACGCTTCACTTTTGGAAAAAACTTACAATGTCGGCTTTGGTGATTCGAGTTTCCAGAATGGCACATTTAATGGTGTCTCCTTGACTAAAACACCTGCTCTTTCATTATGCTTAATTAACTAAGGTTTTTAATTGAGATAAAAAAGTCAATGTCACAAGTGGGATTCGAAACATTTGAAAAATGTCAAAAAAAGAGGGAAAATTCAAAAGGTGGGGTTGAAATGGGAAGTTAGTGTCCGAGTAGATCGAGGTCACGACAGCTCAAGTGGTAGAGCAGCGGCGTATCTAGCCGAAGATCGTGGGTTCAAATCCCGCTCGTGCCATTGATTTTTTTATCTCAACTAAAAACCTTAATTAATTGAAAGATATTAATTGGTCAAGTGGACCATGAAATTAGCGAATTTAAAAAGGAATTATGCTTAATGCCATGTCCCATAACCCAGCATATCACTATTTTTTCCTTGTTCCGTTTGTGTGAAAATATTACAAACAATGTTTATTAAAATATAATCACACCTGGGGTTATACTTAAACTTAGTAGAATTTAGTTAGAGTGCTGAGGCTGTCTGTAAAAATGCTCATTTTTATGTATGTTAGTTAACAGCATACTCCAATACTTTTACGATAGAAATAACTTTGGTCAAAAATAATGTGCTTAGAGTTGGAAGACTCGTTGTATTTCCTTCTTAAAAGGTGCAACCCATACACCTCCCAGTTTATATCGTCTGTGAAACTTGGATGGCATTTTGGAAAATTTTTGTGAATGTTGGCTTCCTCAGGTGGAAATTAATTATGTTCAAATAAAAGAAAAATGTAATAAAGATACAAGTTCTAATATTATTTTAGTCGACTAAATAATACGCAATCTATTGTTATTAAATGGTTAAAATTTGATCCTTTTTTTATATTGTACAAAGCACTTTTCAATTTTATAAATTAGGGTATCACTGTGCATGAGTGGTTATGGTGTCATACTTGTATTCCCACCCATGCTTGATGCTCTGTGTTCAAATCCTGGCAAATCTGATGGAATTTTAATTAATAATAATTTAACAAACAAAATAATTTATAAAGTAGTTTGACTCCATGTCTATAACACCCAAAATGGTAGCTGGATGTCAAGCCCTCTTGTTTGACAGGAATTGTTTTATTATTTTTATATTAAATATTATAAAATTACAATGAAGCCTTTTATAATTATTCAATGTAGTAAAGCTTATTATAAATTAAGCATGTAATAAAAATGTTAATAAAAATATAAATAATTAAATGTTGTTATTAATATTAAATAATAATCATATTAAATCCAATTATTTCAGCCTAATGTGACAGGAGAATTCTGTGAAAAATGCCAACTTGGATTTTTCTTTCTAGACAGAGACGGAACAGTGGATTGTAGAGAATGTTATTGTTCTGGGGTGTCAAATTCATGCGAAAGAGCTCTTGGATACAGTGTCAATGAAGTAGGCTATACATTTTAAACGATATTTCACTTAAAATTAATCTAACTAACAATTCGTTTTAGTTTATGAGTATGGACAAATGGCAAGTGTGTGATTTACAAACAAGCTACATTGTACAGCCGCATACGGATCCAAAGACGAATCATTTACTGATCGGAGATTATCAAATGTCTGGAATTGACAGCTACTACTGGATGGCTCCACTTCCTTACCGTGGAAATAAGTTGACAAGCTACGGATCTGCAATAACGTTTTCTTTAAGTTGGGATATAATGAGAGGCGACACAAGTGGAAAAGCAACAAAAGGGCCTGACATTGTTTTGATTGTAAGGAAATGAATAAACGAAAATTAAGTTTTAAGTTGTGTCAGAGTGGTGGTGATTTTAGTTGTTAAAACTTCTTAAAGTGAGTGCTAATAATTTATTTCAGGGGCAAAATGGTTTAAGGATTGGTTATGGTAATTCTTGGCATCATGAAAGAAGCATGAACATTACAGTTCCATTGGTTGAAGACGGCTGGTATTATGTTTTGGATACTTATAGAGACTATGTGACACGCTTGAGAAGAAATCACATGGATGTTGAAGATTTCAAAGGAGAATATATTAGTCGTGAACAACTTTTAAGTGTTCTCGCTGATATTAAACATTTATTAATAAGAGCAAAATTTCATACGGACCAGGCTGAAGGAAGGTAGGATAAAATCAAACGGTTCAATAATAACACAGTATTAACTTTGTTCTCTAGTTTGTTAGCTTGTATTATGGAAATTGGCTATGAGTCGGGTAGCGGAAGTTCAATTGGTTTTATTGAAAAGTGTGACTGTCCGCCAGGAAATATTGGTTTGTCTTGTGAACAGTGTGACTTTGGATATACAAAGGTCACCGATGGTATTGTACCAGTTTACAAAGTTGTATGTTCAAAGTGTAACTGTCACAATCATGCTGCAACCTGTGATGCAACGACTGGTCAATGTGGTGTAAGAAAAACAACTCTCATTATAACAAAAAAAAAGTGTGTAATGAAAATTTTTGTCATAGAAATGTGAACACCACACTACTGGGCCATTATGTGAAAGTTGTATGGACGGTTATTACGGCGATGCTACAAAAGGCACCCATACTGACTGTAGGAGGTGTGCATGCCCTTTAATCCATGACCAGAACAATTTCAGTCCAACTTGTAAAGCGGACAGCTTAGATTACGTTTGCACAGATTGTCCTGAAGGTTATTCTGGTAGACATTGTGAAAGCTGTGCGCCTGGGTTTTTTGGAAATCCAGAAGAGAGAGGATCAACGTGTAAACCTTGCAATTGCAGCGGTGGACCTTGTGACACCCTCAAAGGACATTGTCTGACTTGTCATGGGAACACACACGGGTTAAAATGTGACAAGTGCAAAGACAATCACTACGGAGACCCACATTATGGCTGTTACCGTAAGGTTTTTTGTTTTAAATAGTAGTTTAAATATGAATGTTTAACATCAGTTTTTACTTCTAAAGCTTGTGATTGCAATGAAATTGGTTCAGAAGAGAAAGATTGGTGCGATTCCGAAACAGGACAGTGCAAATGTAAAGAGAAATTTTATGGGAGAACATGTGATCGATGCCAGGTAAATAGAATCAATCTTCGGTTATTAAGTTTGCTTTTGAATTATATTAGTTAATTATTAAATTCATTAGTTTTTGTAGTCTGCTTGACCAATTAATATCATTCAATTAATTAAGGTTTTTAGTTGAGATAAAAAAGTCAGTGTCATGAGCGGGATTCAAACCCACGACCTTCAGCTTGATACGCCGCTACTCTAGCACTTGAGCTATTGTGATTTCAATCCACTCGGACACTAACTTCCCATCTCAACTCCACCTTTTGAATTTTCCCTCCTTTTTGCCATTTTTCAAATGTCTTGTAATCTATTTGATTCTCGGTGACAAATGAAATGGCCACAGAGAGCTTTAGTGAAGTATACTTCATTTTAACTTATTAAATTCACTAGTTTTCATGGTCCGCTTGACTAATTAATATCATTCAATTAATTAAGGTTTTTAGTTGAGATAAAAAAGTCAGTGTCACAAGTGGGATTCGAACCCACGACCTTTGGCTTGATACGCCACTACTCTACCACTTGAGCTATCGTGACTTCGATCCACTCAGGCACTAACTACCCATCTCAACCGCACCTTTTGAGTTTTCCCTCCTTTTTGCCATTTATCAATTAGTTAATTATGTTACATTAATTATATGGATGTTAACATCAATTAAAACTTGTTCTAGACTGGATTTGGAAATGTATCGGCAGAATGTCTTCCATGCCAATGCGATTCTGTTGGAGCAAAATCCTCATTATGTGATTCCATAACTGGAGCATGTGACTGCCTTCCAGGTGTCACAGGCCAGTTCTGCGATTCCTGCTTTCCAGAATATTATGGGTATTCTTCTGACGGGTGCAAAAGTATGGTTATTTAAATAAAGCTTAAATCTTTGTTACATCTATTGTTTTTTTGCTAGAGTGTGATTGTGATACGAACGGATCTGAAAGCCGTTACTGTGACTTGGAAACTGGTGAATGTACATGCAAGCAACATGTTATAGGGAGAATGTGTAATAAATGTGAATCAGGATATTGGGGATTATCATTAGTTGGTTGTGTATCCTGTGACTGCGATCCTCTCGGATCCAAATCAATCAGTTGTGATTTAGAAAGCGGTCAATGCTACTGCAAACCTGGAGTCGGGGGTCTTAAATGTGACCAGTGCATGCCGAAATATTTCAACATGTCAAGTGAAGGATGTTCTGGTAATGTTAACAAATTATTAAAATATTTTAGATTTATTAATTGAAAAACTTATTTTTAGAGTGTGAAGTTTGTAATCAACCTGGAAAAATATGCGATCCAGACACCGGGCGGTGTGTCTGTCCTCCTTTCACAACAGGAATCACCTGTGAAAGATGTGAACAACATTCTTGGGGCTACCACCCTACAAAGGGCTGCAAAGTACTTTCACTATCAGTAAATTTTTAAAAATTTGATTTAATAAATAAATTTAATTTTAGCCATGTGATTGTGACTTGATTGGTTCTTACGGGAGGAAATGTGACCCGATCACTGGCAAATGTTCCTGTAGGGAAGGATACCAAGGCGACAAGTGTCAAAATTGTGTAAGGGGCTATTTCGGTTTAGGAAGTTGTAAAAGATGTGCTTGTAACATCGCTGGCACACAACCTCAGCACTGTCACGATGGTATTTGTGTCTGTGATGTGACTGGACAATGTCCATGCAAAGTAATGCAAAACATGTTTTTATACAATTAAAATTGTGTCATATATTTAATTGTTTTATTGCAGGATAATGTATTCGGTTTACAATGTAATCAATGCAAAGATGGGACGTTCGGTCTGAGAGAAGACAATCCTGAAGGATGCACGGAATGCTTTTGCTTTGGCCGGAGTGCAAAATGTAGAGATGCGGGTTTGATTTGGGGCAGTATAAGAATGAACAGGCCAAGAATTCTAATGGTAAACTATGACAATCAGACTTCACCAAATAACGTTATCATCCCAGTCGATACGAAAGAAATTTGTTACATCAATGTAAGACAAAACATTTTTTTAAACATTTTTCATATTTTTAATCTTAATTGAATATCTAGTTGGCAATACCTGGAAATGGAGGAATGGTGAAAAAAGATGCCAGGCACTTAAACATCACCAATAATCTAAGAATAATTCCAGGCGATGAAGGGAATGTAGAAATGGGTGTTAACTATTTAGTCGATGCGCCAGTTTACTGGCAGTTGCCTAAACAATTTTTGGGAGATAAGGTAGACATTTTTTTCATTCCTTTAATTGAGAAATAAATGCAAAAGGTTAATTATCGTAAATTGCAGCTGCTGTCATATGGCGGTTTTCTACATTTTACTGTTGAAAGTGATGGCGAACATAATTTTCTTCCTCATTCGATACTCACCTCTTATCCATTGCTGCAAATCCAAGGAAATGGAAAACTTGTGCTAGAACATTTCCCTATAATTCCGTATACTTCAGGTCATCATCAAGTAAGGTAGGAATTAACTTTTGATATGGTAATGGTGTATATCATGTCAAATATCTCATCATAGCTAGAATGTTAAAAGTTTTATGTTTGCTCACAAGTGTCAATCTAACGGTTATACATTATAAAAATGAGAGGAGTGCAGCGGCCAAGTGTTATTGCATGCAAATTGTATTGGATTGTCCGGAAAATAACGCAGGTTTATGGTTATAAAATAAAAACAATTAAATAAATAATTTTAAACATTTTTTATGAACTAAAATACCCTCCATACTCTCCATACACTTCTCCCAACGTGATGGCAACCCCGTGAATAGAATTTTGAATCTTTATTATTAAAAAATTCTGTAAACACATTTTCTAATGACTTTTGATCAATATATTTTTGATATTGTGAAACATCCAGGTGTCTGAAAAAATAATAGTCAGTTTTTAATAAAAATTTTAAATCATCTCGGAATGGTGCTCTCTCTCTCACACTGCCATCGCTCCAGACTTCATTAATGTTTCTGACCATTTAGGCATCGTTCTGGCCTAAATTCATAAAAACGATATTATGCTATGCAAAAATCATATGTTGACATCTAGGTAAAGACTAAATTATTCCTAAGCAACAAAATGCTACTGAATTAAAAAGTGTTTGTACAAAAGAATAATCCATCAAATGTAAACAGTTTATTATATAAAGGGGTAATTGAAAGAAAACGAGAAAACCTGCATTATTTTCTGGACAACCCAATATTTGCCATCCTAGCAGTCCTGGGTTCGAAACCCGGCATGGTTTTTTAATTGAGAATAGTATGAAAAAATGTGTAGATAGATATTAAGCCCTCTTGTATGACAGGAATTACTTTACTTACTTACCTATATTATAAAAATATTAATTAATCTTGTTTTCTAATAATGAATTACAATTTATTTAAGACTTCATGAATCATTATGGAGAATGAAAAACAATCCAGAAGATGTGGTTAGCAGAGAAAAGTTTATGATTGCCTTGCAAAATCTACAGCACATTTTGATACGAGCTTCAGGTTCTGTCGGTTTTACTGAAACGAGGTAAACATTTTACTTGGAAACAATTTGAATAAATTCATCTAATAAAATGAAATCTTTAAGGATTCGAGATGTATCTTTGGATACTGCGGTACCTCGGGAGGGTAATAAAGAACGGACTGTGACTGGAATTGAAATATGTGAATGCCCCCGCAATTACAATTCTTCATCATGTCAAGACCCTAGCATCGGATTTTACCGTTCAAAGCCTGCAATCGGTACTGCAAGTTCTACAATAATTATTGAATTAGTGGGAGAAGCTAAACCTTGTGAGTGCAACAACCGTTCCAATATTTGCGACATGGAAACTGGATTTTGTAAAGTATGTTATTATTAAAAACAATAAATTTTTTGGATAATCGATGTTTTTAAATTTCAGTCGTGCTTGTACAACACTGGTGGAAGGCATTGTGATACTTGTGCAGAAGGCTTTTACGGGGATCCGATAGCCAATATTGAATGTCTCCCTTGTCCCTGCCCAACTATCTTCAGAAATAATGCGATAGGCTGTGAAGTCTACCCAGACGACGAACGCATTTGTTACTGTAAAGAAGGCTATACTGGTAAATACTGTAACAGGTAAGATGACTCTTAGCTGGTCAATTTATAAATCATCTAATCAAAAATTAACTTTTTAGGTGTAGTTATGGATGGTTCGGAAACCCCGAGGCCGGAGGTACATGCAAGAAGTGTATGTGTAATTCATTAGGAAGATTAGACGAAGCTTGCGATGAAAAATCCGGCCAGTGCACTTGCATAAACGGTGTTACAGGATGGGATTGCTCAAAGTGTATTGATAAAATGCACATACTTACTGAATATGGTTGCAAAGGTATTATTTCACAAAAATTATAACGTGGCAATGTATATAATTTAAATTTATGTTATTCGTTAAATTAGAATGCACAGATTCATGCATTACTTCATTACTAAGTCAAGTTAATGAAATAAGTACACGACTCCATAACGATACATATAACCTACTTACCGGGACTGTTTCTCCACCGCGGGAACCTTTGGTGAAGCTTCAGAATCGTGCGAATGAGTTGGAAAGAAGATGGGTGCAAACTCGTGACAACCTGCACTTGTATAATGAACTTAATGAACTCTTAGATAAAGAAATGAAAGTGAAAGAAAAAAATTTGCATAACAAGGTAACTTGATGGTATGCTTTCTGTGATTCTCTTTTCTAAAAAATGAAAATTTTAGATTAAAAAATTGTTGAAACCTCGGAAACATCAAGACTCGATACAAGAAGTACGTTCAAAAGTTTTCCAGTTGAAACCAGCATTTGATTCTATTGAAAATGAATTGTCGACAACAAAGAAAAAGTTGATGGGTACTTGTCTATTTAAGCTCATGTTTTTACTTTATTATGGTTATTTTATATAATTTTTGTTTTTAAAGATGTTATAAAAGGACTGAGGAATTATGTAGAAAGAGATGATGAGAAAATAAGTACATCTGCCATGATTTTAGAAGCCAAGCGTATTTTATCTGACATTCGCGACAAAGACTTACAAAGCAAGCGAATAGAAGCAAAAAGAATTTTGAGGTAAAAATTTTAAAAAATGTATAATCGTTTAATAATTAATATTTTGTGAATATCCATAGATGTTGCAACAACTCATTGAACGACCTCAACTTCTTTGGTGACCGGCATGAAATTGAACTGCTCTATAATCGTCTCGATGAACTGAAAATGAAAATTAAAGACATGGATAAGTGGATAACGGATACGATAGACAAACATGACATGGTATTTCAACACATTTGTTTATTTATATTATTTCAAAATTGTGAGATGCTGTCTGGTATGATGTAGGTTCCAGAAAAACATTTTCTTTATCGTGCCAACGTTCAATCTTTATTGAGATCATCTTCAGGGCTCAAAGTGCTTTTTTTTTACTTTTAGCTTCGTGTCCATAGAATCCCATGTTCTTCGGTCTTCTCATGTAGAAATGTGTGGTGATTAGTGACCACTAGTCAATAATTATTCCAAAATCGTGAGATGCTGTCTGGTATGATGTAGGTTTCAGAAAAACATTTTGGGCACTCTCAACATGACACGCAAGAATGGCACAATTACACAGAAGTCAAACACTTTGAGCCCTGAAGATATCTCAACAAAGATCGAAATTTTGGCACAATAAAGAAAATGTTTTTCTGAAACCTACATCACACCAGACCGCATCTCACGATTTTGGAATAATTATCGACTAACGGTCACTAATCACCACACATTTATTTATATTGTGACATTTGAAAAATGGCAAAAAGGAGGGAAAATTCGAGAGGTGAGGTTGAGATGGGAAGTTGGTGTCGAGTGTGGGTGGAGTGGATTGAGGTCACAATAGCTCAAGTGGTAGTGCAGCGGCGTATCTAGCTGAAGATCGTGGGTTCGAATCCCGCTCGTGCCATTGACTTTTTTATCTCAACTAAAAACCTTAATTAATTGTAATATATTAATTGGTCAAGCAGACCACAAAATTAGTGAATTTATTTATATTATTGAAGACTTTAACAAAACTATTTTACAGATACAAGAATTAAACGTAGACAATCAGAATATAATAAATACTCTGAAAAAAAGAATAAATGACATTGAAATGACAGCAGCGAACATAAAAAATATTATGAACTCCACTGATTACATGGCGAAGGTGGCAAGGGTTTACCTAGATGAATTGACGGATGACATCTTGGTAGTTATTTGCTTAAAAAATTTATATATTTGTTATTTTGGAAATATTTTTCTTAATTAATACAATTTTAGGGTATTGAAAACGAGAGGGTTGATTTGAAAAGCCAAAATAAGAAAGTAAAGGATCTAATCAGTAATGTGCTAACATTTCCAAATCTTGAAGAAACTGTATCCATGGCTGAAAATCACGCTGCGAATTTAATGAATTACTCTGAATACTATAGAAAGTAACATAAATGACTACTGTACAGATGACTGCAGGTTTTTACGGTGATTGTAATAAAAATTGTTTTGTTTAGTGTTTTTAAAACTGACGCAGGTGTTGCGATGGAAGCGAGTAAGGCGTACGATAATATTGCTAAATCAGTGGCTAAAGCTTACGATGCTGCTCTGAACGCTACTACTGCTGCTAAGGCTTCTTATGAAAAGGTACAGTTTGGATTTATTTGAAAAAAGTTCAACGTTTTACCATTAAATAATTTTAATTTTAGGCACACCCAAATAATGAGTCTGACTCTTTATTGGGACAGTCGCTTACTTCAAAGAAATACTCTCAGGAGCTGCATTCGACCGCAAAACAGAAACTCAAGGATATAATTATGTTTAAGTCTAATATGGATAAGACGCAGGGAAAACTTGACACTATCATGGCGTCTACTGACGGTCTCGGGCATGAATTGGACATTGTGCATAAACATGTCGACGAAATGGAGGGACAGTTAAATTCCAGTGAGTATTAATATGATATGGGTAATTTAAACAGTTTTGATCATTTTCCCTTTGAAATTTGACAGTTAAAAATATCGCGATAAAGGCTGCTGACAAATGTGACGAAGTGATCGAGGCGTCTGAAGACCGACAAGATGAAATTCTTGAATTAAACCACAATCTTATAACAAATTTAAAAACAACTCTTCATCGCCTGGAAGTTGAAGATGAATCAAATATGAACACTGCAAGAGATTTAAGTATGTAAAGTACAAACAAATTGCGGACTTATTTATTTGTAACTTTTAATCTTTGATGTATACTTAATTGATTTGGTATCTTCTTTCAGTTGATCGATCTCGAGAAAATACTAAAAAAATTCAAGACTTTGCTGACCAAATGACATCTTCTTATATGAAGTACAACGAGGATTTTGAAAAATGGAATGATACAATATCTTCCAAACTTGAAGCATTGAGAAATAAGATAACACAAGCACATCATATTGCAAATAGTGTATGTATAATTAAGATGTTCAATATTAATATATTAATAATTGACTAATATGTTTAAATTTGCTTTAGATTCGACTTTCAATGACAAGCATCGGAGATAACAGTGGAAGCTGTGTCCGGACGTACCAGCCAACTCATCTGGAGCCAAGTACAATGACTTCAGTAATCTTAACATATGCTATAAGTTCTCAACTTCGAGATGCTTTATTGTTTTATTTACCAAGTTCTACTTCTGTAAGTTGTTTCCATGAATCAAGCAAAGTGTTCACATTTACTTGTTTTTATTGTCATGCTTTTTTTTCAGGAGGATTTTGTAGCAATAGAGATGGTTAATAGAAAAATGCGGTTTGCTTGGAATGTTGGTGGTGGGCTCGGCGAAGTAATTCACCCACTCCACATTCAAACTGCAGGGGATCTGCACAAAGACCAACACTGGTACAGAGTCGAGGCAGAAAGGGTGAGCAATATTGGCCATTTGAAGGTTCGACCTGTGGTCGTCCCTGAGGGGTCTCAACTGGCTGATAAACCACCGGCCACCAATGCATCAGCCCCTGGTGTGGGCAGACTTGATGTAGGCCCTGGTGACAGGATCTGGGTCGGCGGTGCAGACAGACGACACCCACATCTACTGTCCACTCAATCTGGACTCGTCGGCTGTCTACATCAATTATTTCTTAATGGTCGTCCAATTGGTCTATGGGACTTCAGCACACAGAATCCTAACTCCTGTACAGCATGTGTTGAAGGGTAAGAATTAAAAAAAAAAAAAAAATGAAGTATCAAATGCTACAATTTTTAAATTTTAGTGCACAAGAGATAAAAGATGAGTCTTCATATGGATTCTCAGGGGATGGTTATGTCGTATTAAAACCTGAGAATTCAGGAATACGCAATAAATATCTTTTCAGTGTATCTCTCAGGTTCAAGACTTTTGACAGCAATGCACTCCTGTTTCTTGGAATAGAGAATTCTACGGTAATCCATTTAATGTCAAATAAATAAAATGCCTTGTTTCTACAATGAAAAATGTTTAGGATCGCTATTTATCACTTTCACTTCAAGACGGTCATGCAGTCTTTCATATATCTTACGGTCAGTACTCAAGCTTGGAAATGACAACCGTGGAGCAGTACAATAATGGGGTGTGGCACCACATTGAGGCGAGCAGGTTCTTCGATAGGATGAATAAATTAGAAAAAGGTTTGGCTTCTCATTACACTATGAAAAATGGTTTATCATCAACAAATTGTGTACAAATTAAAATAAATCTAATTTCATTAGGAATTCTCAAAGTTGGATCGGAAGTACGCGATGGTGCACCAACAGTCCCACCAAACCAGGATATCATTCCAGACCTGACTGTTGGGAGTTACTACATCGGGGGTGTCCCTCCGGGCGAGGTGAACAACATAAAGAATTTAGCAGGATCATACTTAGGCTGTATGTCAGATATACAAATAGATCAAGGAGGCTACAGCTTGCTGAAAAACAATTACTGGGGTATTCAAGCACCCTGCTCCAAAAAAGTAAAGACGATTTTACAAAAATAAATAAACAAAGGAAATTGCAAAATTTAATGTTATACATTTTTTAAAGCCTATCACAGTAGCAGGATTTCTGGGAAATGGATTTCTAGAATTACCCTCTCATGATCTTAAGAAGAAAGACAATTTTGGTTTTGTGTTTTCAACGATGAAACGCGACGCACTTTTAATGCTCTCAACTTTCGAAGGGCTGGTAAGTGGTTGAATCCAAAATTTTTGCATGTTTCAAAACTAAATTTTTAGGAATCATTTAATTTGATATGTATTCCATAAATACGACCAATTGCACATCATTGCTTATTCTAATATTTCTTTGAAAGTAAGCTTCATTAAAAAAATTGCACAATTCATTGATAATTTTTTTTTTTTACAATTGCCATCTTGTAATACACATCATTCAGTATCAAATAAATTCTGTATACAATAAAATCTTCATCCGTTAAAATGTATTCGTTGTAAGAACATTTTTTGTATGTTTTAATTTAACTTTTAGCAGCTCAGCTGGCTTTTGTTAAATGGTATAAAATGACATTTTTAAATAGCCATAAATAGCAACTATCATTACAATTAATTAAGGTTTTTAGTTGGGATGAAAAAAAGTTAATAGCACGAGCGGGATTTGAACCCACAATCTTCGGCTAGATACACCGCTGCTCTCTCAGGGTTCAAATCCCGCTCGTGCCATTAACTTTTTTTTCATCTCAACTAAAAACCTTAATTAATTGTAGTGATTTAATTGGTCAAGCAGACCACGAAATTAGTGAATTTAAAGCAACTATCATGATATCAGATTCACAAATTTAAAAAATTAGTGAACGGGGCAATAGAAAATTTTTTAAATATTTTATTCTATTTCCATAAAAAATATTTATTGAATCTCGTCAAGTTATTTTATCTCTAATATGCAATACAAGCTTTGTTAATTAATTAATTAATATTTTTATGTTAGATTTTACTGTTAAACTTTTGTTTTTGTAGAGTTGTTGTTTAAAATGATTACAAAACAGACATATTTTGCATTAAAATTACATATCATATTTCTTTTCTTTCATTTTTTTCTTCTAATTTTTGTTTTCATTTTTTCATCATTCGGCCATTATTTTCAGAATGGACAACTTGATGATAAAGAAGAGAGCACTAATCTCATAGAACAGGAGGTAACAATTCAGTCCTGTTCTTCATTTTCATCCATTTTCATTTCATTCTTATACTTACTTTCTTCATTTTAAATTTTGTGGTTTTTGGAATAATTTTAATATAACAGTTTTTTTATGTAAATAACACTGGTAACAAGAAAAAAAAGTCATAATTGGTTTGGGAATTAAACTGTTGCATTAATTTATTTAAATGTAATTTCTAATTACAGTTTAACTTCTTCAATCTGTTATCTGTCTCTGTTAATTTAATGAGAACTTTTTCAAATAAGTTAATACCCTATGTTGTTTTCTCTCCCTTTCGTATTTTAGGATAGGCAGAGTTATTATTCAGTGAGCCTTAGGAGGGGGCAGATTGATGTGAGGATAAACGCAGGCAAAGGTGAAGTCCGTCTGGCTAGCATTAGCTCTGAGTACGCAGATTCTCAGTTTCACTCAGTGAGTGTGACAAAATCTGGAAGGAAGCTGGAGCTAAGAGTCAACGACAAGCTGGATGCGAAGACTGTACTTCCGGACGGTTCAAATGTGGTTAAAGCTCCAGGAGAAAAGGGCGGTCTTTATTTCGGTGGGCTTCCAGCAGGGTTTAATACAACAGGAAGGACATTTTCAAACATGCCTTTTGTTGGGACAATAAAAGACGTTATCTTCAACGACAAGTAGTTATTTTTTATATAATTTCTAAATTTCGTTTATAAATAATTAAAGTTTTTAGTTGAGATAAAAAAGTCAATGGCACGAGCGGGATTCGAACCCACGATTTGATATGCTGCTGCTCTACCACTTGAGCTATCGTGACCTCAAGTGGTAGAGCAGTGGCGTATCAAGCCGAAGATCGTGGGTTCGAATCCCACTTGTGCCATTGACTTTTTTATCTCAACTAAAAACCTTAATTAATTGTAATATATTAATTGGTCAAGCAGACCACGAAATTAGTGAATTTAGTTTATAAACTTACGGTCTATTCTAGGGTGTTTGGTTTTGACAAGCCAAAACAATTTAAAAGAGTAACTATAGGGCGATTTGGCCCGAATGATGATGGCTTGGACAATGAAAAACAAACGGGTGTGATGGGCTGCAGAAAAGTATCGAGCTATTCTTTAGAACCTGGTGCATTGAGGTTTGGTGATAAACTAAACTCCCATGTGCAGATCAACCTTAGAAGTGCAGTTGTTCAGAATAATTTTTCTATTGGAATAGACTTTAGAACGTTCTACCCAAATGGTCTTCTTTTTATAATTCCTGTAGGTCTGATTGTATTTTTGATCTCACAAGATTCACATAATTGAATTATTTTCCCAGGGAGGGAAGGGACATTTGCACCATTATTTAATGGCATCCCTCAAAAACGGACGGGTTCAAGTTGTCTTAAAAGGAAGCAGAAGGATACACACCAAAGGACAGGCTGTGTTTAACGATGGACTTTGGCACAGGGTATAATAATTTGTCTGCTTATTTGTTATAATATTTTTTTAAAAATCATATTTATTTTCATGCTTAGATGGTCGTTGAAAAGTCAGAAAAAAAATTGTACCTCAAGGTTGACACAATCGATACTGAGTGGTCAAAAATGACCAAAAAAACAAGCATTGGGAAGCAAATGTTCATAGGGGGAGTTGCAGAAAATGGTGTCATGATTCCAAACAAACTGGTACTGTCTCTATTTAAATACAGTTACAATTTGTTTTGCAATTTTCGCTTCAGTTTCAGAAAATAGAAGGGTTTAAAGGATGCATTCGCAATCTTAAAATAAACTACATTGATGAAAGCCTAATCAGTGATAAAACAACACACCATGGAGTTGTTGACCAGTGTTTTCCCAATGTCGAGCGAGGGTCTTATTTTCCTGGGGACGGTTATGCAATTTACAGTAAGCTTTTATATCGATCTAGTAAAATTTTGAGTTATTAATGGACTTTTAATGTTTCAGAAAACAAATTCAACATTGGATCACTGTTAGAATTTGAAATGGAGTTTAGAACTTCAGAAATGAATGGGATCCTTTTAAGCGTATCAGAACCCCATGGATATCCAGCTTTATCTTTAGAACTTCATAATGGAAAAGTAATGTTATTGATGTTGTTATATGTATATGTTGTGATTATGTTATTCCTTGGGCTCCGGTGGCCACAACAGTTAGATTTTGATATCGTGACTTAATACTGTAAGGGTATCAATGGCCCTAAATTTAAACCCAACGTACTTACAAAATATTGAACTTAAAACACTGAAACTTCAAGGGTTGATATGACCTGTTGATGATGAATTTAAATGTTTTTGTTACTGGTGACTTGTAGTGTCCCTTTATAGATGTACAAATAATTAATTTTAAATTAAATTAACTTTATTTATTTACAATTAATTAAGGTTTTTAGTTGAGATAAAAAAGTCAATGGCATGAGCAGGATTCGAACACACGATCTTTTGCTAGATACGCCGCTGCTCTACCACTTGAGCTATCGTGACCTCAATCCACTCGGACAACTAACTTCCCATCTCAACCCCACCTTTTGAATTTTCCCTCCTTTTTGCCATTTTTTTGCCAGAGGGAAAATTCAAAAGGTGGGGTTAAGATGGGAGGTTAGTGTCCGAGTGGATCAAGGTCACGATAGATCAGCAGCATATCTAGCCGAAGATCGTGGGTTCGAATCCCGCTCGTGCCTTGACTTTTTTATCTCTTACTAAAAACCTTAGTTAATTGTAATTAATTGGCCAAGTGGACCACGAAATTAGTGAATTTATTTATTTAATTTGTTTTTATTTATTGTAATAAGACCCCTCATTAGTTTCAAGGGTTTTATTCTTTCAAATCTTTCTTATTGTTAGTTTTATTTGGAAGCATTATTGCTCATAATTGATTCTAATATTATTCACTCTCATAAGTTTAGAGTCTGTTCATTTACATGACAACTCGATAGTTGCAACTTGTAGCCTCTTCCCTTGAACAGCTTTGCTTGGGTGTCTTTCTTGATTTAGAACGGGCATTCAATCAAGTCTGGCCTCATGCATACCGTTTCATATGTGATGAACCAATTTTGCCGAGTCCGTGAGTGAACTGAATTTCTACCTTATTGTGGCTGGTGTTCCTCAGGGGAGAATACTTGGCACATTTTTATTTTCAATACACACTGCGGATATTCTTACATGTAATTCAGACTCCTCCATAAACTCTCAACACACAACTGTTGATTGAATTAACATATGGTTCTCAAAATGGAGATGAAAATTAATCGCACAAAAAGGGTACGGAAAACTTTTACCCTGTGTAAAATTTTCAGTCCCCCAGTTCAATAAGTTTAAAAAAAATTTATTTATTTAAAAATTTTCAACACTGACACAATTTTAAGCTAATGTCAATGTTATGTACGATTTATGGACATTACAGATTGTTATGAGTGGAGATATGGGAGATAGAAGACCTTTCACTGTCACACAAGAGTTTGCGACCGAATTTACAGCCTGTGACAACAAATGGCACAGCGTGCAGGTAATTTTTGTAAAGGACAAACTGATACTTATGGTTGACAATCTCAAACAGACATACTGGTTGTCTGACAATGGCCATTTGACGGAAGCCTGGACAAACAGCCCACTTTATATTGGTGGCATCCCTGGTAAATATTAAATCAATTGTTTTCTTTGCTAATGGTAAATTTTATTTTATTTTTTCCCCCATAGAAAACGCTTCAATGGGAACTCTCCAGTCGAGGGAGAATTTTAGAGGGTGCATCAGGAATGTGATAATAAGCAGAGAGAGAAAGGATTGGACTGCCATGGCAGCACTTCACAGCATTCTTCTCAGTTCTTGCCCTCTTGCCGATTGAATTTAATTTTATAAGTAAAGATTATGTGCGTTTGCATATGAAAAGGAAAAGTACAAAACATCTTAAAAAGTTATTTATTTATTAATTTTTTTAAATTCTCATGTTGAGAATTATTATTAGGTGAAACCTATTAATAATGGAAAAGACTTATTTTGTACAGACTTTTTACCATAGTTAATTCTCTGACTTTTTTTTATATGAATATAGATAAACAATGGAATACTTAATGGGAACAAAAGTTATTTTCAAGCACTATTTTTATACAATTTAGTCAGTTAAAACGTTGTACATATTTTATTTAAATTATTTTGGTTATGAATTTTAAAGTTACTATTTAATTTTAAATATTGTAAATAGTAAATTAAATTTTATTACATATTCTGTAGTTTTATTTGTGCTGAGAACCTACATAACTACTAAGTAACTGTTAATGCTATGTAATTACTAATCAGTAAGTAACTACTAACCACTATGTGCCTACTAATTACTTAACTACTCTAAGAATGGAAAATTCAATCTAGCCTCCTCACAAAGACCTAGCAAAGAAAAGACAAAAACTACTGTGAACAGCTATCACAATTACAATGGCCTAATCACCAATTTAACTTCACCTAATTAAGTGATTTACATTATTTTATTAAAGTTTTGTAGTTGTTCAGTGTTTTATACAATAGATCAACTCTGTTTTCTCCAAAAACCGAACAGAGGTCTAGATACTCACTGTCGTGTTCAAGCACAATTCTCATATTGGGTGGCATTCCTACACGCTCTTTGTATGGAGCGAAGGAATTGCACCCTTCAATTAGGAGGGACACATCGCGCAACCTTTCTCTGCATGCCAGACACATAGTTGGGCTTTGGCCCAAAAGTAAGTGCCATACATGCCATTCCCTCAATTGGGGTAGTAGATTACATGATATTTCTCTACACATATTATATAACTAATATAATGAGGGGTTGATGGGGTACTCAATATTTTGCCATTGACATTCTAACACTACATTCATGGTAATATATACATTCACTCTCATCTACAAAGCAATATAAACCACATAAAACAACTCTGTTTCCTCCAAGAATCAGAACAGGTGACCCAGATACTTGCTGCCATCCTCAAGCACGATTCTCATTCGGGTGGCATTCCTACATGCTCTCTATATGGAGCCAAGGAATTGCACCCTTCAATTATGTGGCACACATCGTGCAACCTTTCTCACCATGTAGGACACATTTGTTGGCTATATATATATTATGCAGGGTGGGTGACCAAGACCCGAGGGGTTAAATGCCTGGGTAGACTCGAACCCCATCCCTAAAAGGTCTGGGACTTGGTCGGCTCACATTGTCTGCATAAATCTCTTGGACCTGTTCACAAACTCCAAGATTTTGGACCATTCAACCTCGGGGAGTGATTTGGTGATGTCCTCTCCTTCAAAGATTTCAGATATAGACCTAGCATACCTATTAATCAATTAATTTCATAATAAATTTTTAAATTACAATTTTATAATCAGACTTGAATGATAAACCATATAATAGTTAGAATGGCAAAATATCTTACGAGTAAAGAGGGTAATTTTTTTTTTAGTATTTAATTATTTTTTTCAAGAAATAAAAAAAAGGAGAAATAAAAAAATACAGATATTTATAGAAGTAATCTTGTTTGTTTTATTTTTAACAGTAAAACTGAAATTTACGATTTAGAAGATAGAAGAAATTTATTGAATTTAAAAATAATAGTTTTGACAACTGGTTTAACTTTTCTGTTGCTGTTGCACCAGTTTTTGAAAATAGGCGTATGTATGGTATGAATGTTTTTATTAAGCAGTAATATTTTTTTGACAATAAATATAGATCTGAGGAACTTAAATAACTTTAATTAGATGAACTTAAATTTGTAAATGTGCTTGCAGTTCAGATGTGGGAGGCATTTTTTTAATCTTTATGAGGAGCCAGATGTTTCATTCGTAACACTTTTCTTCAACACTAGTCCAACGATCATTTCTCAGCTTTTTTGTGCTGAGGAATAATATATTGTATCAGAAAAACGATTGCTTTTAAATCGTGAATCGAAAATAGCTGAAGCGGCTTACAAAACTGTTTCCTACGTCTGACCAAAACAGCTGAATTCTTCTAAAAGTTTCTGTTTTAACTTTTTAAATATATAATGATATATTTTCTATGGGATCGACCAACCTTTATTCAACGATAGTCACATGGATTAGAGTTGTGGTCAGATTCAACTAAAAATTATTACATATATGGAAGTGATAAGTCGCTACAACATAAAATAGGCAAAATTCCATCTGGTCTTCACATTCAATCATACTTACCTAAAATAAAATTGGAGTTGAATGAGAGGTTGGATCTTAAAACAATATAACCCCTCAGCATCTGGAATAAATGATAGTGTGTTGGGGAGAGTGTTCGAAATACAAAGAAATTCGTTGAACCAGCTCTGAGTCACTTACTGGGTTTGCCTACCATCATGGGTTTTAATGTTACTCAATCACGTTTTGACTTTGTGCCATCTTCAGTGAGGAACAGACTTCTAGATGACCCAGTAAAGGTTTACTAACCCGCCACCAGTTTTAGAAAGTGAGCGTTCTGCAGTCAACACGTTAAGCATAGATGCGAGACAATACCAAGATTGGTTGGGGCAATTTAATGAATCAATGAAATTTATTTTTGTTATAAAATTAAGTTTATTTAATCACATGGATTTTTTTCGATTCAGTATTAATATAATATAACCTCTCGTAATATCAACTTATAAATAAATTGCAACAAGAAAATAATAACCATGGTAAAAATATTACATTTTGGTAACATTTATTATCCAGTCGATAGATATTTAATTAATTAATATAAATTTATCTCAATATACATATATTATGACTATACATAATATATACAGTTTTAGAAAGTCTAATTTACACTTGCGTAGTGTTTTGAGATCCAAAGACAGCTTGTAATTGTTATTTACAAGATGAAAAAATATATATTCTCTTATTCTACAGTTTACAATTTTACAATGTTGTGTCAAAGATATGTTGGAAGTGAAGTTGGCCCCAAAAGAAGAATATCTATTTAGTACAGTGTAATAAAAAGAGTAAAAAGTTAATTAGGAAAAAAAATATTGACCAGTCTCGAGATATGTGTAGTTAATGGTATCAAATATTAGGCAAGACTCTTTTTTTTCTTTTTTTTTTAAATATCATCATCACAAGTCAGTCTTAACAATTTGCACTTACAACTTACAATCTATACTGCTAAAATTTAAGTAATTAATAAAATACATTACAACTTAAAAAGGAAAATATATGGAAATTACAGAGCAGTCCCTTGTAACCGCATATTCACAGAAAAAATGTAGGTACAGTTTCTTAATTAACTAGGAAGAACTTTGGTACAAAATCAGAACAAAATTTTCCTTTTTTGTTTGTTTCAAATGTCAACGGGTTTTGTTAACTTCTGACGACATTGCCATTTGCCGCTTTTTGCGATTCCTTCTTCTCGACGTATCTCCTCAAAGAAGGAATCATAAAGAGCATCAGACCACTGAACATTATCATCATCCCAGAAAAGACGAAGCCTGGTGTGTACGAATTAGTCCAGTCGTACAACCCTCCTACAAAGATTTTTTTTTTCAAATTTAACGCTAAATGTTAAAATTTTGCTTATTTCGATAAATTTACCTGTAATTGGCGGACCTACTAAAGAGGCAAGACCTTGGAACAATAGCAAAAGTCCAAAGGCGTTTGTTAATTTATCCAAGCCAAGAAGATCAACAAGTACTACAGATGTAAGTCCAACGTACGCTCCAGATGTAAAACCAAATACAAAAGCGTACACGGCAAAGCTGATGTAGTTTTCACACAGAATACATGCTGCTGTACCTACAATTTGTAAATAATCATTTGAAAAATTTCACTCAGAAAGTTTAGGTTATGATCTATAATCAAAAATTTATCACGAGGATAATTCAAAACCAATGGCAGTAAAGTTTGCTCAATTTGATTTTATTTGACCTGGAATAATTAATGTAATAAAACTGTATCAATAGAAATTCTGATGAACCAAGGAGGAGGAATTTTTATGTGTGATAAATTTAATATTGAATTATTTTTTATAGTTTTGTTCTGCTGAAATTAATTCCTCTTTTGAGAATGTAAACTGTCTGGATTTTGTAAAAATAAATAAATGATAATTTACCAACCTATTCCACAAACAGCAAGGCAGGTGTTATAAACATAAAGTCGGTTAACCCATGGTTTGTCTGAGATGTATCCCAAAGCTATCCTTCCGATGGTGTTGGCCAGTCCAATGACTGACAAAAGATAACTGGCATTTGTATCACTGACTCCTCGGTGTACAGACATGTACTAGTACGGAAATAAAAAAAAATGAATACGACACAATAATAATTATAATAATTAGATAACAGAACGTACCACTATGTACACATAAGGCACATTAAAACCGATGCTGGTTAAAAAGTTGGACACTGTGAAAATAATAAACAGTGGGTCTTTGAAAAGAGAGAAGTCGAGCATTTCATTGAGGGTGTCTGTTGTCTCTTCTGCGCAAGGGATGCAACCACAGATGACATTAGAATTTTCCTCTTGTAGAACGCTCTTTCGACGTATTCCATTCATCACCAATAGTTTTTCCTCTTCTGATGCATGTTTTCCATCATTGATATACGTTGCCGACCTTATGAAATTATTTTTTAATAATGCTAAAAGCAAGAAAGAAAGGGACATACTTATGGTGCTGAGGGATGTTTGTCGTGCTCCCACTGTAAAGAATATCTTTTCTGTACATGATTCCACTACCAAAGGCACTCTTCCTGTGTTCGAAGGTAAGCATGGGTTGCGATAAGGCCAGCCTCGCTTTTTCGTTACCATTCAAACCAGTACTCACGTTCATGGCCATTGTTGCGCCGTGTATGCTATGGGGCCTCTTCTGGCCATTTGGCATCGTTCCTGAGAAAAACACACCATTTAAATCTGCACAAACCTATATATTTTTTTTTTAAACTTACTTTCACCATTTTGGACTACTTTGCCGTTTTCCATCTGCAACATCTCCTGCTCAGGAGGGGGTGTCTCGTCGGGTGGCAGTGGCCTGAACAGCATCCCAAAGAAGATGCAGATGAGCATCATGAGGCCAATGATGAGAAGGGAAGTTCTCCATCCAAAACTAGAAAACAACGGACGCTTATTTGACCCTGAAGTTTTGTCAACTTACAAAAATACGTTTTCTACATACTTTTTCACTAAGACCTCGACGATTGGGGAGAGTATAAATGTTCCCAGCCCAGAGCCGCAGACTGCTATTCCAGTCGCCAGCGACCGGTACTTTTCAAAGTAGCATGTGACGCAAACAATAGCTGGCAGATAAATCAGACCCAAACCTAATCCTAAATTAAGGAAAATATATTAATTATTTTCAAACAAATCACTTTCTTGAAAAAAAGTAGAGATTTTAAAACTCCATTTTTGAAAACAAAGTTTTAATGATATTTCCAGCTTTGATTCTTTTGACAGTCTCAACAATGAATTTGATATTTTCATTGTATAGAAATATTCTAACATGTAACATAAGTTACATTATCCCTCGGTTAATTATTAGGTTTTGTTCTCTCTGTTCATGCTGACAATCTGGTGAATAAAAACAAATAATTAATTAGTTTATTGGAAAAGAGGGTGAAGAGAGACTCACCATAAAAGTAGGTAGATCAAGTTTTTAACAATAGCTCATCAGGAAGCTTTTAAATTTGCACTAAATGTGTTAGGGTTTTCTTTCTTGATTCAGAAAAAGGCCTATTTTTTTATGTTTGGCCTTATACATAATTCATTACAGTTCGTGGTCTGATTGACCAATTAACATTTTTCAATTAATTAATATTTATGAAAGGTGTTGGTTACATAAAAAAGTCAGTGTCACTAGCGGGATTCGAACCCATGACCTTCGGCTTGATACGCCGCTGCTCTACCACTTGAGTTATCGTGACTTGATCCACTCAGACACCAACTTCCCATCTCAACCTCACCTCTCAAATTTTCCCTTCTTTTTGCCATTTTTCAAATGTCGTGTAATCTATTCGATTCTTGGCGACAAATGAAACGGCCATGGAGAGCTTTCATGAAGATATACTTCACTTTAATTATTATATCCATTACAGTTCATGATTCGATTGACCAATTAACATTTTTCAATTAATTAATATTTATGAAAGGTGTTGGTTAAGATAAAAAAAAGGCAGTGTCACAAGTGGGATTCGAACCCACGACCTTCGGCTAAATACGTGGCTACTCTACCAGTTGAGCTATCGTGACTTCTTCATTGAGATGGGAAGTTGGTGTCCGAGCGGATTGAAGTAATAATAACTCAAGTGGTACAGTAGCGGCGTATTTAGCCAAAGGTCGTGGGTTCGAATTCCGCTCGTGACACTGACTTTTTTATCTTAACCTACACCTTTCATAAATATTACTTATATATAATGTTGCTCAACCAATGTGTAACAGACAAGCTTCTGAATTGTGCAAACAAAATACGATCAATCATTTTGGTCAATCTTCGGTTGGTCTTTCAGACTCATTTCTACACTTTGACATTTTCAAGCCGTGGGTTTGTATCATTGGGCTTTCTGGAAAATAATGCAGGATTTCATGTTTTCTTTCATTTACTCCTCTATATAATAAATTGTTTGTGTTTGATGGATAATTCTTTTGTAATAATGTCAACACTTTTTAATCCTATTCCAAACAAAAATGTTTATTTACCTCAGTAGCATTTCATTACTTGGGAATAATTCAGTAATAATTAAGATGTCAACACATGGTTTTTGTGTAATTTAATTTTACGAGTTTAAAAATGGTTGGAACATAGCCCAAATGACCAGAAACATTAATAAAGTCTAGGGTGATGGCAGTGTGAGTGACAGCTGGTGAAATGGTTTAAAAAATTTCAAGAGGGAGACTTTATCCTTGAAGACAAAGGTCATGGAAAGATTGCTTCCCTAGATGATGACGTTCTGCAAGCTTTGGTCGAAGAAAATCATAGGAAACTGTTCAACAACTTGCAGAGAATCTTTCAGTTAGAAAATCGATCAGCACTAACCGCCCGAAAGTTGGGTTCCTCAGCAACGACCGCCAAAAATACATCAACATTATGAAGTTTCATTAAATTCATTATTTTTCGTGGTCCGCTTGACCAATTAATAACATTCAATTAATGAAGGTTTTAAGTTGAGATGAAAAAGTTAATGTCATGAGCGGGATTCTAACCTATGACCTGAAGCTGAATGTGAAAGCCGAAGATCATGGGTTCGAATCCCGCTCATGACACTAACATTTTCATCTCAACCAAGACCTTACATAAAAATGTAACTCATAAAAAATATTTAAAATAATTTATTTAATAGTTTTTATTTTATAAACACAAACCTGCATTATTTTCCGGACAACCCAATATTTTTACTTGGTCCTTTTTTTTACATTTTTTGTTTGTTTTTTGATCGTGTATGAAAGGTGAAGGGTTTTGTTGGTGTTATCTTTGTCTGTCTGTTTCTTTAATTAATTAAATCTGCATTCTTTTGTTTTTTGTTCAAGTTGTTGCATTCGTTGGTTTTTTCATTCACTCACCTGTTATCAGACCGACGGTGATCCAAAGGGTGAATACATTTTGGGCAAACATGCTTATAACGAGGCCAGCAGAAGCGACTATGGCCCCTGCGATGGTAACCACCCTGCAGTTCCATCGGTTCACGAGTGCACTTGAAAGTGGACCTGGAAGAGAGAATAGTTAGTTAATTTTGGCACCTCACATAATATATTCTAATAATAATACAAAAATTGAACCTAAAAAATATAACATATAAAGTTACTAATTATAAAAATTAATATAAATATTGAGTAATAATTTATCATTTAAATTATATATTGGCAAGGCCAAAAGATAAAACAAGATAAAACGAGTGTGATAATTCTTAACTTTTAACTGTTCCCTCAGTCAGATAATTTTTTCATGTAAAGACAGTTGCACTTTGAATAAAAACGTCCAATAGCATTTACCATCAATAAACTCAAAAAACTAACCCAAATATTTTACAAATTATCAGACCATTCTTGTATACATAGAAAAAAATGCATTGGAAGAATTGTGAGTATGTAAGTAGAATTTTGGGCTAAATTGAATAAGTGAAATTAGCACCTTTGATGTCAGGAGCTTGACCTATATGATCTTCAAAATAGTGATGAAAAACTGATTAAGTCCGACGTGCAGACTTATTCACAAGTGTTACTGATTTTATAACAATTGTCTCAATTCAGTCAGGCATTTCCCAGAGGATTTGCCTCATTTCCTGAAGATAAAAGTCTTTCGTTCACAAGTCACTTATTTGGCTGAGATGTCAATTAATGATAATAGGGATAAATTGATTCCCTTTGATAATATAAAATTGTCTTCTGTAAATATAGAACTACATCTTTTCTGTTTACCTGAGCACAGCGTGACACCGACAAGGATGGAGGCAATCCACGAAGTTCGGCCTTGGCCTTCTTTGAAGTCTTCTACGAGAGCTTTAAAAAATACTCCAAAACTGTACGTGACACCGTCAGCTGAAACATAAAAAAGAATTGTAAATAGGCCACATTTATTCGTAAATTATGACAAAATACAAAAAACAAGATAGATTAGGGTCGTGAATTTGGTTCTCTATCTGATAGAACGTGACAATTAATTAAGGTTTTTAGTTGAGATGAAAAAAAGTACGTATTAATTGGTCAAGCGGACCACGAAAGTAGTGAATTAAGAATCTGATAGAACTTTTTTTTTTTAATTTTGAGTATTTGGTTGAAAAGTGTGTCATTGGAATTTGCAATGTAGTGTAAATATTCAATGGAAAAGTTGGACAAAAAGGCATTTCACGCTGAATTCCACAGAAAGCATATTAAACTAAATAACATATAACATAGTTGTATACAAAATAGATGAAATCTTCACTTATGTTCGTTTTTTCTACAAGGTTTTTTTGAACCCGGTTCTTTCTGGCGATTATTTTTTATTTAGTTTATTGTCACATGAGTAAACATATAAATGCATGCATAATGCTGACAAACACTCAATATTATGAACTAAACAATAAAATTACAAGTGAATAAAAGTTTCCAAAAAAATTCCTTGTAGATAAATAACAATTTACAATTAATATAATATTAATGACTTAGATGTAACCAAACTTCACAATAAAATTTAATTATAATATACTAAATGTCAAAAAATGGAATTTTTGATTGAAGCTTCGATTTGAATGACAAGTGATCTTGTCGATGACATTTGAAGATTCCACTTCTACAAAGATTTGAAAACTTGTTAGTTAGAATTAGTTGATGCAACTAATTTCTGGAAGCACTATTTTTGAAGTTTCAAGCTTTGGCTATGAAGTTTTTGAAGATGCAAGTAGTGAGAAAAGTTGGGGGGAAGGGGCATATTTATTTGTGATTTTGAAATTAGGGGATCTAAATACCACTTGCAAACTCTAGTACGGGTCAAACATAAGTAACATAATTTTTTTAAAAGTATTTCAGGAGGTGAGAGAAATGTGCGGGAATGCGAGAAAGCTTCCTTTCTTGACTATCTCCAGGACGTGGTTATTCCACAATTTTCTGATATTGTTATCCCCAAGTGTTTTTAAAGAGATGTAGAGGCAAAAAAATCTTATCAATGCTCATTTGTAGTTCAGTTTATTTAGTCAAAGGATTTGCGAATATCTTGATAACATGTACTGATTTAAAGAATGAATAGAATTGGACCCATGACCGATCCTTGCTGAACTCCGTTAAGTAAAGGGTAGGAATTGGAATAGGGTTGATCAATCTTGACTTTAAAACTCCTGTCAAAGGGGTATGACATTTAGGAAAATGCTACGCATCCGAAATCCAGTTTGTAAAAGTCTGAAACGATCAAAATGCTCTCTGTTGTGGCCATTGACTTTTCTAAATAATCTAACTCTATTTTACCTAATGCGTATTTCGTTTAATGAGTGATTTTTTCTCCCTTCTTGTCTATATGCTGTTTATCAATTATCAGCACGAATTTACATATTTAACAAAAACTTTTGTCGAAAGATTTATACAAAATTTGTGTCGTTTACACGTAATGAAGTGTTTATAGATGGCGATGGCTAAAGACCGGATTTTCATGCCGTAAAACCCCTCAAAACGTGCATGAAACCTCAAAATCGCGCAAAAAACAAAGATAAAAACTCCCATTTAACGTAGTAAAAATTTTATTTACTTAATAAATTAATTACTGTCTTAAACAGATTTTTATTTTATGTTCTTGGGTTAGTTGGACGTTGGGATTATCAATTTTATAGTTTATAAAGTTGGTCTAAGCGTAGCGACCCCAGGAATAAATTAATTGTCCTTTTTAAAATAATTTGTCACGTTTCGGGCCTCGGACACCCTTCATCACGCTGATACAAAAATAAAACATTAAACTATCATTTAGCAACCATAAGTAGAGTGCAATTATTTTATTTTTATTATTATATCCATTACATTAACGATTATATCAATTTTTAAACCCAGTGTGTACAAATATACTTTTAAATTTTATAATTAAATTTAAAAATATAGAACTAGATTAAAAAAATTATCGCCGTGAAATTTAATATAAATGTAAAATATATTTTGTTCTCATTTTCCTATATAAATTAAATATATTTAATTTTTGTTTGTTTTCAAAACGTTTTGCAGTACGAAATAAAATTCAAAACTAAACGAGACTAGAATTATAAAAAAAAAACATGGAAAAAAGGAACTTTTGGAAAATTTCATGTTCGGTTCTATTGAGACTCATCAGCGTTTGCAGTTTTGGTCGCGCGGAGATCAAACAAATCAGTGAAAAAGTAAGCCATTAACTACATTGTACCGTGACCTTCTCCCATAACGATTAGTAAATATCACTAATATACTAAATATTTCTTATTCCATGCTACTACTATATTATACTAAATACTATTACCAAATATTCTTAAATAGGAAGAGGAAGAGGTTCTGAGATTCACAGAAAGTAAGAAACACGCCATAAAAAATCGTGGGGTATTTTTCACCCCACGGTGTCCGTCCGAGGTTAAACGATAAATTAATATTTCCCTTGAAATACGATGTGTTATTTTCAACTACCTGAAATCTACTTTATGCCATTAATTTAATACATTTCCTGTACTGTGATTAGTCCTCCTGAGGAAAAACCAATCATGAAATAAATTTTTGGTCTCTAATTAGCCATAAAAAAACCCAAAGTGAGTTCGGGTTTTATATAAGAAGATAATATGATTGAATTATTTATGTTGCTATGCACCTTGAGTCGAAAATAGTCTCGGAAGTTTCCGTTGGAAAGAAGACGTACTGCGCACGGCAGGTTTTCCGGTTTTGTAATATACGAATTCGTTTCCGGAAAAAATGTATATTGATTCGCATGTTTGTAAATAAAAGTCTCTAGGACGCGAAAGGTTCGGGCTCCTGGCCAAAATTACAAGGCGTTTAAGGTCGCTGATAGCTTTAGAGCAGGCCGGATTTTCGGACAAAAGGCCCAAAATAATGTCACGTAGCAAGCTGTGTGAGCTTTGTTCGACTTCACCAATCATCTTGACATCGTTATCTTTAATTGTCGGTAGGGTATCGTCAAATGGAGCAAAACAACACCGCTTTTTAACCAATAGGTGCTCAAATTAACGAGCAAATTAGTTAATGATAAATTAATAAGTTATGAGATTTCTCCGAGTGGTTTGTGAGGTAATGAAATAAGTGGGTCGTTACCGTTTGTTCCGCCTATCATCGTTAGTTTGACCCAACTCTGAAGATGCCGAAATCCCGAAACATCTGACAGACAAAATGACCGATATCGACCAAATTACATATTAATATGTATATTATCTGCTAACCAAACACGTTTCAAGACAATATTATGGCAAGTTATTGTTATATATGTTGCAGATTTGAAAGAGACAGACGGATATATCGGAGAGAAAAAGGGGTGTCGATACATTCGATGTTAACAATTGTTTAGAATTGATAAAACAATAAAAAACATCACTATATCTAACATGTGTGTTTTAGTTTCATTTGATGTTACTAATTTATTTACTAATATTTCTGTTAAAGAACTTACTGAACTAACAGAATAAAAACTTATGGAGAACTCTATTAATGAATTTATAAAAAATGATATAACCTGTTAAATATATGCCTACTATATAATTATTCAATTCACTAGTTTTGTGGTCCGCTTGACCAATTAATATGTTAAAGTAAATTAACGGTTTCAGTTGAGATAAAAAAATCAATAGCACGAGCGGGATTCGAACCCACAATATTCGGCTTGATACGCCGCTGCTCTACCACTTGAGCTATCGTGACCTCGATCCACTCGGACATCAACTTCCCATCACAACCACACCCTTTTTTGAATTTTCCCTCCTTTTTGCCATTTTTCTGGCATATAATATACAATTACTGTAACATATAATAACATACAATTATTGTAAATTTTACAACATATAACTATTGTAAATTTAATAATAAATTTTATGAAATGGAAGGCTTACCAATGGGGTTTCTCTATTTTGTGGGGAAATATTCATGGATAACTTTGAAAAATGACTTTTTTTTGTTGGAAATGCTATGTAGAAGATATTTTATGTATATGTTCGGGAACCTTAAAGAATCTAAAAGAATTCTTCCACTTATTAATTCTTTACCCTAGTATAAATTTTACATTGAAAATAAATAATGTTGGTTGTTTAAACGTTTTAGACTTAAAACTGTCCATAATAAATAACATAATAGAAAAATAATATATAGAAAACCCACTATTTCAGACACCATGATTCCAGCAGATTCTGCCCATGGGCCCATAAAGCTATGGGGTTCTTTTGGCTCATAGACCGTATGCTGAAACCCCCAAATACCACCTGCTAATTATAAAAAAAAGCATAAACAATTAAATCCTTGGCTAAAAACAATGGATATCCAGAAATATTTATCGATAGATTGTTAGTACAAATAATGTGGGTTTCTTAGTGACCTGTTGTTTCATCATTTGTTGAAGTCGTGAGGAGTGTTTCGACCTTTGTTCGGGTCATCTTCAGCGCATAAAATGTGGTGCTATTCTTATGGTGTCATATTGATTTTGTGAGAAAGTGTTGTGACAAAGAAGAGATAAACTTGTTCCAATATGACACCACAAGAATAGCACCATAATTTATGCCCTGAGGATGACTCGAATAAAGGTCGAAACGTCGGCAAAAGATGAAGAAGGTGTTTTTCTAAACTACCTTATTCTTGACCGCTCCTCACGACTTCAATTAAGTACAAATAATTTACAAAAAATAACTTTAAAGTAGAAACAATCGGACTCAGCCACCCAAACAAAAATGAATCATTTTATCATCATTATTAATTTTCCGTAGCTTGTTATACATTGGGGAGGTATCCGAAAAAGTAGGTAAAAATCATAAACGAGAAGGTTTTAGATGTACGTTTAACTTAAAAAATCATCTCAAATCCTAAAGATAACATTGTCAACTTGTCAAAAAGTGGGGTTTACAAAC